CGCGTGACGTCAAATAAATACGGTTGGGCAAAAAATTCCACATTGTCTGATGATATATCAAAATCGTCTCCCATTGTGATGACCTGTACTTCTAAATATCTTTAGATCATCGCAGTACCAGTGAACACGTCTGCAATCTCTCTGCACTGTGTAAATAATGAGTGACATATACGCGCGACAGATCGCTTCCGCACATGCGTCTACAATCATAGATATGTATAGATCCCTATTCGACCGCTCCAGATACTAAGACTGATAGACTGCAACGGTTTGAGTTAAAAATCTTTGTTTGTGTTCTACTATCATGCAGCCCTAGTCCATGTATAATGTTAGTAAATGTTTCTTGCAAAGGCATTGCTGTGTCATTGCTAAGGCGCTATGAGTGGGGTTTTAGCACATCCATATGTGGTTGTTCATTGGTCAAGAGAACCTCTATAATATTCTGGTATCTAAATATGGTTTGGGTCGCTCATTTTTTGTAAGACAAATTTTCATTTGTTTTATTACCCCGCAAAAAAACATAGGTCTGATTACTTAGAAACATGACAGCTCACCGTGAATTGAGGTATTTATTTATATTAGGGCTGTGAATCTTTGGGTAGACAGCGAATCGATTCGATTCACGATTCATAGGTTTTCGATTCGATTCAAGAACGATTTTTGCAAATTCACAACGATTCAATTAAATTCGATTCACAATTAAATTAAATTCGATTCGATTTACAGAACCATAGGTTAGAAAAAAAAAAACCTTTGTCCATTGTTAGATACTAGTTTAATGATGCTATGGCATGACATGGCCTATATAGAAATTTATGTAAGTCAATATTTAAAAAAAGAGCTTTAAATGTATTATATAGGCTAACATTTTGTCACACCAGGGGCGTAGCCATAATTTCAGAAGTGACAGAAATGTCAAATACAATAATTTTATGTATGTATTATTATTTTTATTTTTTTTTACAAGGAATTCTTTTCTTATCTCTTACTTTGAATTTGCTATAAGAAAATCAAATACACTGCTGGACATTAATCAATCATTTGTAATCTATAAGTCTTTCCTAATGGCAATTTTATGATTGTTTTATATACTACAAACAATTATTTCAATTTTCTGCACAGAATAAGGTAAAAAAAATATATACTTTATAGTTTCTGTAGCCTACTGTAATAAATTATATGTCAATTAGCAGTGCATCATTCATACATTTTTATTTATCGTGTTTATTGTCTTAACGTTTCAGTTCATTCTGCTTTTCATACAGTTTAGCTGCAGATATAGCCTGGCACGTCTATGAGCGCGAGATCACTTCTCTTTCAGTGCGAAAACTTCTTTATCTCATTTTCATAAAATAAAATGCTATAGTATTTAACTTCTCCACTCCATCGGCGAATGATGATTCTGAAAGAAAACGTGCCCGATGTCTTGCTATAGCAACGAACGCATCTGATTATCAGATAAACTTGGCGCTCTTATTTCAAGGTTGTTGTTAATGCTGTGGTTATTTTAACAGTTTCCTTCGTACATTCGGTTGAAGGACATTGTTAAAACACATTTATCATTCAATGGAACTGTGCGTATGCTTTAGACACTTACATTTTTGCTCCGTCCATGCAATAAATGCGCAGCCTTCGACTGCTCAGGTAATGTCGTCGGCATGACCGAGAGCCATTGAAAAACTACAGAAAAGCAAAACTACTTCACTTTAGCATTACTGGCCATGAGTACTAAAGTGAGATCACACATCAGCTGCTCAAAAATTGTGTCAGTGAGACGAACTCAATCGAGCGCAATCCTGTGACAGTCACAAGCGGTAAACAGTGCAGCGCGTGAAGGAGAGATGCGAGGCACGAACACTGTTCAAGGTCTCCATTAATTCCTGCTTGTATTAATTTAATGTGTACCTACATATTTTGAAAGCATTGAATCGCTATAGAAATCGCGATTCATTCGATTCTTAGCGTTTTAAATCGATTACTGTCCGAAATCAACGATTCACGATTCAAAAATCCATGTTTCAAGATCGATGCATTGCATCGTCAGGGTTTGTAATCGATGCATCGAGAAAACGAGTGAATCGTTACACCCCTAATTTATACGCATAGCACAAAATTAATTATGTGCCCAAGTTAACAGTTATTGTTTCCTATGGTCTTTTTGGAATGACTGTGAACATTGCAGTATGTTTCCATATTATATCAAACTTCACAGACTGGCAACAAAACAACTATGTTGTGGAGAATATATTTTATAGAAAAAGTGTCAGAGGAAATAGTGTGCGATGGTGTTTTCTGACCTTGTATCCCACTGATCTGAGCCAGTGTCGTATTTGTATGTTGGTTGGAAATCAATCTCTCCCTCTGTGAAGCCCCCAAACACAACCTCCTCATCCATCTGCCGTTTCAGCTGAAACACATGAACATCCACGGTCATTTATACTGCCATCTAACTCAACACTCTCCAGACAAACCGCAGCTGTGTTCTGTCTTACCTGGTCGTGATTATACAAGCTCTCAAAATCCTTTTTAGCTATCAAGTCCTTCACATGATCAACTTCAAGGTCACTTATTCGGTAGTTTAGATCTCCCAGCCACAACACAACACTGGAAATGAAGAGAGAACCATGATGATGAAAGCTTTAAACAGGGAAAATTAGACTTTTGTCTCTAGTTAAATTAGCAGGCTGTTGTGTTTAGCTCGTACTTGTGTTTCATGATGGTGAGGGGTGGTAGTGTGAGGTCATCCTGACTGAACTGCATCCTGCGGCAAATGTCCTTGAAGTCCTGATTGCGTCTTTCAAACTCTTCCGTGTGTGCGGCGAGGTGGGAGTTCACCACACAGATGTCCGAGTTGTGAAATTGGAAGCGGATTGCTACTGCACCTTTATTACCCTAAACGAGAAACAAGGTTATTTGAACGCACCAATAACAGGGTTCTATGTTTTAGTGTGCTCCTAATTTAAAAAATGTAAAGTTAACCCTATTAAACCGGCTGTGTCATCACGACACATCAAACCAAGCTGTTTTCATGTTACTGTTTGCACCGTAGAAATAAGTCAAAATGCTCATGCCAGTAGACAATTTTCGCTTTTTCGACAATATACAGCTTATTATGGCAATGTCCTGATTTCTCTCAGCAAACAGCACAGCAGCTTTTGGGAAGCATGAAAAGGAAGAATTTGAATGGATAATTACAGAACGCAAAAAATCTTTTCAAAAACAAACAAAACAGCAGAAGATGCAACTGTGATGATTTTTGATGAGATATGGGAGGAGGCAGACTTGTCAGACCAACATCTTGGCATGCGCTGTCCCTGAGTTTGTATGTTTGTATGTGTGAATTTGCACCCGTGCATGTGCATAGGCGCTAAAAAAAGTCTCCTGAGTGAAAACTGTGAAACCCAGTGTCAGACTTGTTTTTATTATAGTCCAGTTGTTAGATTCTTTCATTCATGTGTTTTTAAAGTGTCAGTAAAATGTATTCAACACTCCAAAGAGAAAGGAAAACTTGAAATCGCATCATATGACCCCTTTAAATTCTATTTCCAAACTCTCAACAAACAATAATGGTCAATTACTGTAATTTACTGAAAGCAAATTGTTTTCTGAAAAAAAAAAGAAGAAGAAAAAAAAAGACACCTTGCATTTGAAGATTGCATACTGTTTTAGAATTGTACAGTCCAAAAAAATAAAATATGTAAGAACTGCCTATTTTAGCTTTAGGTTCTAAATGGTTAAAGTCTACTTTTCAGAGATGATAATATGTATGTCAGAATATAACATGCACAAGTAGGCATGTATCAAGGTTACACTTTATTTTTTTAGGTGATGTTGTAATATTAAAAGTAATATTAACTAGCTATGTGTACTTAGGGTTAAGGTTAAGGTAAGGGTTTGGTTTAGGGTTAGTTGTTTGTAATCAGGCATAATTTACTGTTATTACTAAAATAAGTACGTCACCTTAAAATAAAGTGTTACACATCAATTATGAGAGAATTCAGTAACCTAGTGAGAGTCATGACTGTTGTTTTTGGAACACATTCAATAAGACTATACAACAATACTAATACTAATATACTACTACTAGTGATAATAATGACAAAATAATAACAATAACAAATGAGTAGTAATACTAATGTACTGCAAAATAAAAACAGTATTTAATAATAATAATGAAATTGCAGTCTTTGCAAATTTTAGTAGTAATACTATTTTACTGCAAAATAAAAACAGCATTTAATAATAATAATAATCAAATTAATTTTCGAATATAATAATTGTAGGGTATCAGACCGAATCAGACAATTTAAGATACGATCAAGAACATGGTTGAAACACGAGGAGCCGAATTCCACAGAAAGGCCCAAGACACAGGATGTTCGTAAATCAGATCCTGGCGCCACAAGCCTGAAGCAAGTACACCAACTAGCAGCTTTGAGTAGCTCACAGCATTTAAACAAAAGAACACTTATTGACAATTCCAAGGAGATTGTCAATTTTGGGCCAAGTAACCAAGATTAATGGTCAGAGATGCACAGCATGACCATCACATGTAAACCAGTGATAGTAATCACGATCACGAGCTCTTTGGATTGACTTCCCCCACCTTAGAAGACAAAGAACAGACTGAGATTCCTTATGAGAGACCTCTTAACCTCTGGTCTTCACAGAACATGTCCTTATGTTCAGAGAATGGCACAGAAACTGCATTTCCATGTAAATATGCATCTAAATGACACTAA